GTTGCTGGCACTAAAAACTTTAATATTTGCCTCTCATGGAGCACTCCCAGGCCTCAGTCTTCTAGCAGTGCTCCTCCCTGAGACACCCTGGCCCCCAGCCCTCAGGCCTGCAGTGCAGCCGGCAGCCTGGGCCACTCTCTCTCCCTGTTTAGAAAAGAGGCCCACAGTCCGCTAACTCCTGTGGGTTGGAACTTGGTCACATGGTCAGAAGAGCTGTGGAGAAGGCTGGGAAGCAATCTTCAGTGACAGCCATGCCAGGACCACACCTGCTGTTTGGCCTGAAGGGGACAAGAGAGGTGGAAATGCCTGAGATTTTCCCTATGATTTCTAACCACTAACCGGATTGTGCCTAGACTAGGAACTTCTGTGCCATCTTATTGAGGAGACTTGGGTAGGGTCATAGCTGGTGTTCTTCCTAGGTCTGAGGCTTGAGACAACAGTGCTCAGAAACTTAACATCTGGGGGCAAAAGGCCAGGACTTGAGCAGCTCAGTGCCAGACTCATTTCTGTATCATGATTGGGTCAGAGATCGGCATGTGATTGAATTAGACCAATCAGAGTTTTCTGGGACTTTTCCTGCTGTGCTTCTTGAGGTAATGTTTGTTGCCAAGGAAGGGGGTGTGAGTTGGGCTGGCAGGTGGCTTTGCTCTGAAGAATAAAAGCAGACAAGCTCTATGATCACACAGGGTTATGAGACACTAAAGGACTAAGCATTCCTCAAAGACCTCATCACCTACTCTAAGATATATAATGCATTGGTCATTGTATGATGGGATAGTTATCTCGGGTGAAATTATGACCTCAGCATTGTTTTCATTTGAAAATTAAACATGACATAGAGAGATGCTATTGGGTGTCAAGTTGACAAGCGGTAGACTTGTGATGGCTAATTCTGGGTGTCAACTTGACTGGATCTGGGATTAACTGAAATGAGAGAGATCTTCTTGATTGGATCATCTGAAGCTGGAAGACACACCCTAAATGTGGGTGTTACCTTCTGATGGCAGCCCGTATAAAAGGCCATGGCAGAGGAGAACGCCTGGCTTCTTGCTGCTTGCCTTCTCTCTCGCTGGTGAGTTCGTCTTGCTGCTGTAGACTGAAGACTAGCTGATCTTTTGGAATTTGTCAGACCTTCAGCACCAGATCAGGACTACTGAGACATCCAGCCTTGTGGACTGAGCGACTACGGATTCTCAGCCTCTCCAGTGTGCTGCAGCCATTGTTGGACCACTCGGACTCTATCCTGTGAGCTAAGCTGATAAATCTTTATACATATATATTCATTCTACCCGTTCTGTTTCTCTGGAGAACCCTGACTAATATAGTTACTGAGTGCCAACTGTGTTGGGCAGTATCCTCCAGAGAAACAGAAACAATACATATGGGCCTACACACAGGCACATGCACATGTACATGCACACACAGATTGATCATAGGGAATGGCTCTGTGACTATGGGCCGGAAAGTCCTGTGGTCTGTGACTGGCTGAGTCCAGGGCTGGAGACTGAGGAAAGTTGGTGGCCTCTATTCCAGTGCAAGGGTGGAGAACGGTGCTGTCCTAGCTGAGACTGTCAGCAGAAAGCCAGGTGTCCTGTCTTGTAACTCAGTGAGTTCGGTGTGGTCCACTTGTGCTAGAGACAACCGTGTGACCTACTCAGCTACCCACCCAGGGCTCCATTCAGGAGTAAAATGACTGCACACACATCTACCAATGGGGTTTACACTGTAGTGGGGATGTGCACAGATAATAAGAATGTAAAACAGATAGAATGCTGAGCTATGACAGACACAATGGGAAATGTGGCAATGAAGCAAAGGGACTCAGAGAGGGCTGGGTAGACCTTCAGCGCCAGATTGGGACTACTGAGACATCCAGCCTTGTGGACTGAGTGACTACGGATTCTCAGCCTCTCCAGTGTGTTGCAGCCGTTTTTGGACCACTCGGACTCTATCCTGTGAGCTAAGCTGATAAATCTCTATACATATATATTCATTCTACCCGTTCTGTTTATTTGGAGAACCCTGACTAATATAGTTACTGAGTGCCAACTGTGTTGGGCAGTATCCTCCAGAGAAACAGATGGGCCTACACACAGGCACATGCACATGCACATGCACACACAGATTGATCATAGGGAATGGCTCTGTGACTATGGGCCGGAAAGTCCTGTGGTCTGTGACTGGCTGAGTCCAGGGCTGGAGACTGAGGAAAGTTGGTGGCCTCTATTCCAGTGCAAGGGTGGAGAACGGTGCTGTCCTAGCTGAGACTGTCAGCAGAAAGCCAGGTGTCCTGTCTTGTAACTCAGTGAGTTCGGTGTGGTCCACTTGTGCTAGAGACAACCGTGTGACCTACTCAGCTACCCACCCAGGGCTCCATTCAGGAGTAAAATGACTGCACACACATCTACCAATGGGGTTTACACTGTAGTGGGGATGTGCACAGATAATAAGAATGTAAAACAGATAGAATGCTGAGCTATGACAGACACAATGGGAAATGTGGCAATGAAGCAAAGGGACTCAGAGAGGGCTGGGTAGAAAGTGGGAAAATCATTTATAAATTTTATTGAAATCATTTTAAAGCTTAATTAAAAATATAATTGAAATGTATTTGATAAGGTTTCAAAGAGATAAAAGGAATAGGTCATAGCACCATCTGGAAGACGTGTCCCACCGGAAGGCAGTTCAAAGGCCCTGAGGTAGGTGTGTCTTGCTTAGCCAAGGTGTAGCAAGTTATGTGAACCCTGATGCTCTGATTTACGCAGAGGACTTTAAGTTGGATTTCTGTCATTGAAGAATCAATGCATTCTTGCTAATCTAGTTTCCCTGACAGTCCCCCAAGCAGTGAGCTAACTTCTTCCCCACCTCCCACCATCTGCCTCTTGTCATGGTTTTGCTGCCTTTAATCCATGTCATTTTGAAACATTGTCGTGGGGCTAGAGACGTGGCTCAGTTGGTAGAGTATTTGCCTAGCATGCACAAGGTCCTGGGTTTGAGTCCCAGCATGGCATAGATCTGGAGTGGTGGCACACACCTGTGATTCTGGCACTTGAGAGGTAGTTCAGTGAGATTCTTAGCTACAGAATTTGAAGCCAGCTTGGGCTACATGAGACCCTGTCTCAAAAAAAAAAAGAGCTACAGAGATGGTTCAGTGGTTAAGAGCACTGGCTGCTTTTCCAGAGGACCTGGGTTTGGTTCCCAGCACCCACACAACAACTAACAATTGTCCATAACTTCATCATTCCAGGAGATCTGACACCCTCTTTTGGCCTCTGCAGGCATTGCACCCACACGGTATACATACATGCAGGCAAAACACTCATATGCATAAAAGTAAAAATAAATGAACAGGTATTGGAACCCAGGTGTGTCCAACTCCAAAGCCCATGTTTGGTGCTCCGCATCCCATGGTTAGTGGCTGAAGACACTGGGCACAGACTTGGGAAGGGTTAGCTTCCTTGGAACCCACCTACAATCTGAGCAATTTCCCTCAGGACAGCCAGGACAAAGGGCCCTTGGAGAACAAGCTTCTACACCCATTACTCCCCTCTGTCAGCACATATCCACCTCCCTAAAACATACGAGGTGAGGGTTGCCACATCCATATTCAGTAGAACACTGAGGCCCTGGCAGCTTGGTGCAACCCTGTGCATCTGCAGCAGCTCCTGGTCCCCGTGTCCCTCATCCCTCCTCTGAGGCCCATGCAGGCCTTTGCCCTGGGCTAGAGGCTAGCATCAGCCTCCCTTGCTCTTTCCTGTCTGCTCTGCACAAGGTGCCCTTCAGCTGAGACCTTAGTACCCAGAAACCCCTCTGCAGAGCACTGCAGCCCTTTGACAAGATGCTGGGCCTACAGGCCTTCAGCCCTAGTTCTCTGCCCCAGTGTGAGAGCTGACACCCATCTACCCATCTCTGCACCCTGTGGTTCTTGGGGCCAACCCTTGTCTGTGGTTTAGTTTCCTCTCTGTCATAGGACCAGAGATAGCCTGGCTGTGCCGTGCCTGGAACTCCAGAGAATAGAGCTGGGGTCTGGACACAGAGGTGACAAATTTAAGTCTTTTTCTTGCTTCTTTCACCCAGTACTCAGATGGCACACTCACCTTCTGGGATTGACCTGGTGCCCTAGAACAGAGCTTTATTCTCTCAAAGCTCCAGGCCAGAGGCAGGAAAGCCAGGTGAGGGCAGCAGTTTGCAGTCAGGCTGAGGGAGACTGTCTTGGCCCTGGGCCTGGACCGCTCTGCCATCTCTCCCTCCCGCCTCACTTGCCCCCATGCTTTCCTTCCTTCTGTCTCCTTCTAGGACACTGTTGTTGGCTACACAGCCCTGCTAACTCCAGGATGAATCATCTCAAAATCTTACTTGATTTTATCTGGAAACAAACAAACAAACAAATCCAGTTGCATCATGCAGATCTGGGGTGGGCATGGGCGTGGGTTAGGGGGCTAAGGATCAGGCATGGCTTTCGTGGTCACTCTTCAACTCTTCACAGAAAGGAAAAGACAGGCTTAAAGCAGAAGGGATTCACAAGGGACCTCAGGGCGTATCAAGGCAGCCAAGGGAAGCCCTGCCCTTGGGAGACCAGGCCAGACTGCTGGCTCCAGATTGCTGCACTTCCTGACTCTGGGAAAGCGCTCAGCGAAAACCCATCTGGAGCTCTGGCTGCACTGGGGAGCTCCTCCTGCAGACATGGGCAGATTTTCCCTGCCTGGTGGCTCCAGGCCCAGGCCTAAGCTGAGGCAGCTCCCCCACTATTAGTAAGGAGGCCACGTCACTTCCTCCCTGCCACAGGGACCCTGTCTCTACCCACTTCCCTGAGAAGGCCATGGGCACCACAGGGCTTAGAGAGGAGCAGGTCCCCTGCCCTCTGGGTCTTGTACTTCCTGGAGAGAATCCCTCTTGCTTTCTGGTGAGAAGCATAGGGTTAAAATTGACTGATCCAACCCACATCCTCAGGTTTCAGAGGCTGTGGAGCAGACAGAGTGGGGTTCTGGCCTGGGAAGCAGCTGCCTGCTCAGCCTCAGTTCTCTGAGAGACGGAACAGCTAGCTGGCTGCTCATCCTTCGTGACCATCTAACAGGCCACGGAAGCAGTAGTTCTAACTTCACACCAATGCCAAAACTAAATAAACTCATCCCCCATGTTTCCTCTGTGATGGTTCTGCCCTGGCTCAACCTTTCTTTCTGGCCGCTCCCCAACTCTACGCCCGCTCCTCTACCACATTCCACCAGCTTGCTGTCATGACTTGGCTCTGAATGCTCCCCAGAGGTCACATGCTAAAGACTTGCTGTGACCGACTGGCATGTGATGCTGCTAGAGGTGGTGGGAGCTTTGTCTCTCTGTCTTTCTGTTTCTGTCTCTCTCTCTCTCCCACTCCCTGACTGCCATGAGGTGAGCAGTCTCCTCTACCACAGGCTCTGTCCTGTCATGGGCTGCCTCACCACAGACCCATGGGACCAACTCACCATGAACTGAAACCGTGAGTCCAGAGAATTCCTTCTCCCCATAAAATGACTCCCTTTGGTATTTTGCTCAATGAGTGTCCTCATGTGCTTCCCTAGAGATCAGAGCCTAGGCACCCTGTTCTGTTTGCTTTGCCCACAAAGGACAGCCAGTCTAGCCCTGGGCCTGCTTCATGCTCTCTGGAGCATTTCCCCCATCTCATTGGATTTGAGTCACATAGACTGTGAACTGTGGAACTTGGGTCCCTTTGGACCAACAAAGATTCCCTGTTCTGAGGGCTAGTTGCCTAGAGAAAGGATCAAAAACCTGGAGCCCCTGCTCTGATGTCACCTAATAACGGCTATAAAAATGGGAGCGTTTGCCTTAGCCCCCTGAAGCAAGGTTCCTTAGAGGAGACAGAAGACTCTAAGCTAGAAACACATGACATTCAGCTCATGGGGTCAGGGCTGAGAAGGGGCCAAATGAGACCCCTTGGTTTGCAAAGAGAGAAATGGAGGGTAAGAGTCTAGCATTTCTAGAGGTGTCTCTTGTGTTCCAACATTGTTTGTGCAGTTGTGTGGCCCCTACGCTCCCTGGTCAGGCAGCAAGAACTTAACTGCCTCTTCCTATTAGGGTGTGATGCTGCTGGGTAAGACCTTTGTCTCTCTCTGTCTCTCTCTTCCCCTCTCCCTGACTGCCATGAGGTGAGGCAGTCCTGTTCCCCGGCCACAGCACAGGAGACAGAGAACAGGGCATACTGTCTGTCTGTGGTTGGGGTCGGGGGCCTGCGGATTCTTTTTTATCTATTCATTTTTATTTATTTATTTTGGCTTTTGAGACAGGGTCTCAGAAGTTGGCCTGGAATTTGCTATACACACCAGATTGGCCTTCAACTCTCAGAGATTTGCCTGCCTCTAACCTCCCGGGTGTGTTGGGATTAAAGGTGGACCCCACCGTGCCTGACAGTTTGTGTATTTATTTATTCATGAGACAGTTCTCACTAAGTAGGCTCTAGCTAGCCTAGAACTTACTATGTAGCCCTGGCTGGCCTAGAAGTTGTGGCAATCCTCTTGCTTCGGCCTCCCACATGCTGAGATTACAGGCATGTTCCACCATGCCCACAGACCTGTGGGCTTTCATCCTAGCCACAGCAGTGCTGTCTGAGGCCACCCCATCAGCTTCATGGGCACACAAACAACTCCTCATCCCCTCACCCCAGCCGGGTAGAAGTCCTCATGTTATGGAGGGAGTTGCTGGAAGAAATGACTCTGAGGATGCAGAGCACTGTCCTCAGGGTAGGGTTTCCAGAAGCCTAATTGTAGAAAGGCTGGGGTCTAGTATCTCCAGAGAGTCCTCCAGGCCCCACACTCATTCCTACAAACCGGGGCACCTCTTTCTGCGCTCCATATGGAGATATGGTCACAGGAGACCTCTGGCCAGCCAGAGAGAACCCACCTGCCGGTCACAACTGGATTCTTCGACTAGAACACAGGATTGTGCGGCAAGGACAGGAAGCCCCAGGCCCCACTGAGGACCAGCTGCAGGGCGCATCCCCTCACGCAATGTAGTCCAAATAATGAGGGGTTCAAGTTAGCAACAGCCAGCTCCTCTCCTCAGTACCTACCTTCTTGCAGACACCGTGTATTGGATGGCCAGAGGTGCCCCCTTTATGTGAACCCCATTGCTTCCTTTTGGTTCCAGCCAGGACTTCAGAGGCAGTGCACCCGCTTTGCTCTGGGAGGAGACTGTGATCCGAGTGGAAGAACCACAAAAACCGTGTTCCCTGCTGCAGAGACAATGGAAGATGGGATACAGGCTGGCCCAGAAACCTTCCAAGATATTCCTCCCACTCCCATCTGGGGAAATGTTTCCATTCCTGCAGTCCAAGGGATGGAAAGTCACAAGCTAGAATAGGTTGTTGCTGTTCTCCTTGTAATAGAGAACACCACCCGTGCTCGGACACGTGCTTTAACCCTCAGTCAGTCTGCCTGCGGCCATTCACGTTACAATCCCGAATACACACGCGCACACGTGCATGCACATACACACAAGCGTATATCTGCTTGTGTAATACACCCTTATTGTTTATTATACAACCTGACATTTTTCACCCAATTTCATTTTATTACATTTGAAATGCACTGAAGTAATTTTGTGCTACATTAAAAGATTGTAGCTTGTGGGCTGGAGAGATGGCTCAGCGGTTAAGAGCACTGACTGTTCTTGTGGAGGACCCGAGTTCAAATCTCAGCACCCACATGGTGGCTAACATCCATCCATAACTCCAGTTCCAGGGCATCCTACACCATCTTCTGGCTCTGCAGGCACTGCAAGACACAGGTGCACTTACACACATGCAGGCAATACACTCATACACATAAAATAAAGGATTGTGGCTTGTGTAACAACAGCCATTCAACAGGCCCTTGTTTTGGTTTATACTGGTCCAAACTGAGGTTGTTGCTGATAACTAAATGTGCCTCTCATGTGCACTTTACCTCTGTTCCAGCCCCTGTCCACACTCACCCCACATGTGGCCAGGCCACTGGAAGGAGGGTAGAGTGCACCCTGCAGAGTCACTTGCTTATCCATGTAGGAGAGAGATGTGGGCTCTGCAGTGTATCACTGAAGAGAGGCAGGGCTGCACAGACCCTGGTTCTGGCCCCAGTCCTAGTTGAGTCTGGCACTGGGACCCCAGGTAAGCTCTTTAAGTCCTCCAGTGTCCTGTTGATGTTTGTAAACTGAGGTTATGCTCCTCACTTCCTACAAGATAAAGAAAGCAGTTCGGAATAGCCCCGGCACAGCACAGGCCATTCTGCACATGCTGGTTCCTGTCCCTCCACATCCAGGATGACAACATTATTTTATAATGATGTGGGACAAAGTTCAAGAATATCCCCTCAAAAGCCTCTCATGGGTGGGTGAGAACATTCAGTGGGCAAAGGCACTTGCTGCCAAGACTGACGACCTGAGTTCAATCCCTGGAACTCACATGGTGGAAGGAAACTAACAAGTTGTCCTCTGATCTCCACATATGTGCTATGGCATGCACACTGTGACATACACACACAAATAAATAAATAAATAAATAAATAAATAAATAAATGTTAAGAAAGAGAGCATCTCAAATCTCCCATGAGAGTTAAGTCCAAAGTACACACACACACACACATACACACACACACACACACACACACACACACATTATATATTGTGCACACACAAACCCATGCAAGCAAGCTCAGGCATGGAGGACCTGATGTACGTGTCAGCCTCAGCTGTGATGAAGACCATCTGATCAGATCTTTACAGGAACCCAGGGAAGCAGGTAAGGGCAGGGACCAGCAGCAGAAGCTGCCAGGCCTGAAATGCCTTGGTCCTGGGATCAAGCTTGGTCCCCTACTCTGCTCCTAACTGCACATTTCCTGCTCCGCTCTGCCCTAGGCTCCCAGGATCCTGGAAGTGCTGTTAGGCGAAGCCCCAGGGGCAGGGATGGAACTTTCACTACATTTGGCACATTGCAACCTTGGGCAGCATTAGTGCCAACCTTCCCTAGAAGCTGCAGCCAGGAAGAAAGACTTGATTCCTGGAATCGGAGAATTGCAGGCTCAGAATGTTTTGGGTCCACTCCTATGATGGCCTCATCCATGCGGGGCATGTTGACACCCATGCATACAGAAGTTTGGATTTAACCGTGATACTTAACACAATGAGGGATCCTGTAGTGGTGGTGGTGGTGGTCATAATTAATAAAATAGCATTTTTATTAAAATAAAATGGCATGGTTCCAAATGCTTTGTGAGTCTAGTCATCCCTCAGTGTCATGGGGAGTCATCCTCATCACTGCTGGGTGACTTCGGCTCCTAGTACAATGTAAATGATATGCAAATCAGACTATACTAGTTAGGAAACTATAACTGTAGTTTAGTAGTAGTTTAGTAAACAGTAACAGGAAACTATACTCATTCACATCTTGTTATGGATTCTCTGGGATAAGGCTTCTGAGGGCTGGGATTTCAGGAATGCACCACTCTGCCTATTCATTTTTAAAAAATGTGTGTGTGTTTTGCCCGCATGTATGTACATTACACCCGTGTTGTATAATGCTCTTGGAGGTCAGAAGAGGGCATCAGAACCCCTGGACCTGGAGTTACAGATGATTGTTAGCACCTGTGGATGCTGGGAACTGAACCCAGATCCTCTGCAAAAGCAGCCAGTGCTCTTAACTGTTGAGCCATCTCTCCAGCCCCCTAGCCAATGTTTTTATTTGTGGCTGGTTGACTCCCTGAGTGTGGAAACCCTGGATATGGACAGCTGCTGTCTTCCACCACTACAGCATTAACTGACTGAGATAAAGACAAAGACAGCACCTCTCTCCCTGTCCTGCTAGGCCTGAGCTAGGTCTGGACTGAGGGTAGTGTGGGGGATAGGGATCTGGGCAGAGCTTGTGGTGGGGGAATGCAGGGTATGGCTGAAGAGCTGAGGTGACACAAAGACTGGAGGAGTCCAGGAGGACTCAACACCTCATGTCCAGGACTCAGAGCAGGAGGGGCACAGAGCACACCTCTGTGCAAGCCAGGTTCCCCCATGGATGACACACGCCTATGCCTGCCTATGGCATCTGGCCTCAAGACAGACCTAAGAGGGAAGAAACCCTAATGGAAAGCCTGAACTTGACTGTGTTCAACTCTCATACCTGAAGGTCTGACTTCTCTAAGATGTGTTACAACCCACCAGAGACTGAGGGCCTCTAGCAAGCCTGTTGCTGTTCAGCAGAGGTGGGGCCCTTGAAGAAGTGAAGTGAGCATTAGAAAACTCTAGCCTTTCCCTCATCTGAGTCACAGGCCTGTATTTTCTTTCCCATTTCATGCAGAGCATTTTCTGTGTCTGGCCCCAGAACATCACTCTCTGGTTGCATCTCTTGGTACAATAAGTTTCCCAAGAACTCCCGTGGTTCACATCACCTCTAGGCTGGTGGCTAGTGTAGTCTTGAGGCTTCCAGGCCTGAACAGGGACTATAGCATCTAGAGTTGTTGCCAAGGAGCACAGTGGGAAGCCTAGCATGGCCCCTTATCAAAGACAGCCTGTGTTCAGGGTGTCTGCATGTGTGGGAGGCTGGGAGCAGGGTGGATGTGTTGATGTCTGGCACAACAGGGCTGAAATATCCTTTGAGACTTAGCTTAGTGGCCGGACCCAACTCAGAGTCTGGACCCAGCTCAGAGTCTTTCATTCTGCTCATAAGCCCCAGGGGATGTAAGTTGATCTTTGCCCCAGCAGAGCAAAGACTGGGTATTGAGTCATACCTTCTGGAAAGCAGAAGCCCACAATGTGGCCTCAGCCGGGTGGTGGGGTCTGCAGAAGTGTAGGCATGTGCATATGAGAAAAACACAGGCAGCTGGAGAGACATGTGAATCCTGCCCGTCACTCCACCGTAAGCTCAGTCCTCGGACATGGAGCCAGTGTCAGCTCTGGCTCTTCTACAACATGGGAGGCTCAGGACCACAATCCTGTCTCTCAAATCTGAGGGACCAAAGATACCTGTCCAAGTTCCCTGTGTTCCGGACTTCAGAAGTTATAATTGTGGCTATCACATATGTCTTGATTCAGACTATGGTAAGATTTCTGCACTGAATCTATAAATATTCTAGTTGCATAGGATACATAAAACTCATGCCACCTTTAATCCTAGCGCTAAGGAGGCAGAGGCAGGTGGATCTCTGTGAGTTTAAGGCTAGCCTGGTCTACATAGTAAAGTCCAGGAAAGATGGGGTTACAGGGAGATCCTGTCTCAAAAAAAAACCCAAAAAACCCTCACACCAGTTCAGGTCAGATTTTTCATCAAATGCATGAGCTATTTGTGTGTGTGTGTGTGTGTGTGTGTGTGTGTGTGTTCATATATATGTGTGCACCTGATGTACATGTGTGTGCATGTGGAGGCCAGAGGTTGACATAGGCATTCTTCAATCACTCCATGTTATTTTTGAGACACTGTCTCTCACAGAACCATTTGGCTAGCCTGGCTGGCCAGAAAGCCCCCAGGATCCTCCTGTCTCCACCTCCCCAGGCCTATGATTACAGGTGTGGTGAATTTTTATGTAGGTGCCAGGACTGAACTCGGGGTGGGGGGGCTCCTCATGCTTTCATGACAGGCACTTGACTGACTAAACCATCTCCCCACATTCTGAATGCATTACTTTTCAAATTTCTGTTTTTAGAGAAGGCTGCATTGTGGAATTACAGGTGTGAGTTATTAGCCTGCTAACGCTGTCTTTCTCATAGGGTTGTGACAGGGGCCACACATCGATATATGATGCAGTGGGAGACAGTGGGGGACAGCAGGGGACACAGTTGATCCAAATGCTGTGAATTCGTTTGTTGGGTGCTGGCTGCATGGGTGACACAGCTTTGCTCAGTCTCCTTACAGCACCTGTAAGCCATAGTCACTAGTTTAATCTGTACCTCACAGATGGAGAATCAAGGCCAGGAGTGGTTCATGCTTGTTTGTGGTGCTGCACCAGGACTTCTGGGTCCTAGCCCAGCACTGACCACTCAGTGTGTGGCCTGTCACACAGCTGGGAAGGAGCAATAAGAGTGGTATTTTTGGTGGTCCTGGGAATGGAATTTAGGGCCTGACATTGTTAGCAAGCACTCTTCCGCTGAGCCATGCCCCAGCCGGCCTCTGCCTTTGTCTCTGCCCTCCCACATCACTGTGTTTGTAGCAGGAAGCTATGAAAACAAAAATTGAAAGCAAGCCATTTATTTCTCCACAAGACCCTTCTTAGAAGTCAGGCCTGGGCCGGTGATTTCTGTCCCCCTTTAAGATTAACATGCACTCAGAATTTCGCAATCCTGTTCCATCCCCACAAGCCTTGGTTCTGCCCCCAGGCAGTGGTCCAACTGGGGACAGGCAAGCTGCTGTTACTTAAACTCTGCCTTTGTGCAGTCAGACACTGGTCACAGCTCCTGCAAGACAGAGGTTCTTGGAGGGGTGAGCATAGAGCGTGGGGTCGTCCTCTCACTTGGGGGGTGATTAAGGGGGCACAGCAAGCAGGGGAGGGAGGAAAGGCTGGAAACTTAAAGGACCAGGACACCAAGAGAACAGGGGGCCAGGGACCACCTCAGGAAAAAGCTGCCACCGGGGCCTATAGGCTTCAAAGTCCAGGTATCCAGGAACTTCAGATGTGGGTAGGGTCTCTGGCTCTGCTCCTTAAATGTGGCATCCTATTGCGAACCTGGCCAATTCAGGGTCATTCCTCTCTTGTGAGGGGCACACGACTGGGCTTTGCTTTCTCATCTACCCAGAGGATTCTTTCCTTGGCATAGAGCTCTAAAAAGAAATTTCTGCGTTTAATTACAAGAAGTCCAGAAACCATGCTCCTTAGCAGTTGCTGTGCCAGGCTCTTCACTAGCTGTTCCGCAGAGTTAGCAGGTCAGAGTCCATGGGACAGATTGAGGGGGCTTTGAGTCCCCCTCTCTACACTGGGATACACTGCCCCAAAGGTCTGTCTTCTGCAGGGAGGGCAGACAGCACCCTGTCCCTGCTGGCCACCCCTGGCTACTCAGAGCATGGTGGAGAGAAGAGCCATCCATCCGGGCCTCATGACAGCAGAGACACATCCAGCTTGCCAGGGTATGTCAACCTCCACCAAGTGACTTACAGCCGAGGAAGGCCCTAGGAGGCCTGGGGTGGGTTCAGTGGAGGTCTGGGGTGGGCTCGGTGGAGGTATGGGGTAGCCTCAGTGGAAGGCTGGGATGGGCTCAGTGGAGGGCTGGGGTGGGTTCAGTGGAAGGCTGGGATGGGCTCAGTGGAAGGCTGGGATGGCTTCAGTGGAAGGCTGGGATGGGCTCAGTGGAGGGCTGGGTGGCTTCAGTGGAGGGCTGGGGTGGGCTCAGTGGCAGAGTGATTGCCTTGCGTGTGAGAGACTGGGGGAAGAAAAGGTTCCAAGGCCTGCCAATATTTGAACATTTTCCTTTGATTCCAGAAGGTCATTCTTTCGTCGTCCTGTTAGCCACACCCCTCATCTATTTTCTCCTCTTCCTCCTGAGCTGTGACACTGGGGGGATCCTGGCTTGGCCTTGCATCACATTCTGTCTCCACTGCTGCTTGTCCCCCAAGATCCCCATCTGGTCTGCGGCTCTAAACATGTCCTCCACTGTCCATCAGGAGACTCATCCACCCGCTTCCTCCTCTCCATCACTCAGATGGCTAACGGCAGTTCGAACTTAGCCCACAGCCAGACTCCATCACAACTCACAACCCCCATGCTCTACCAAACACCCATCAGCTGTCCCATCAATACAGGGATCAGCCTAACAATTGCTCATATCTCCAGCTTGAAGTCGTCCTGGACTCTCATGCCCCATGTCCACTGGGGAAATCTATGGGTTTCCACATATCCAGTCATTCTTGTCCCCCGCAACCTGCTCAGTTACCACCTGTTCATACCACCATCAGCAATCCTATTCTTTCTGTGAGTCTTCCTGCTTCCCCTCTCCCATCCTGTGGAATAATAATATCCACATTCTGCCCCTGCTCCTGCCCTTGAACCCCCAGAGTCCTTTGGACTAGGGCCCTTGGAAACCTGTGGTCTGATATTTGGTCTTTGACTCCAGTTCCTGAATGGTAGGGGTGGCTGACACAGAATTCCTGGTCCCTTGGAATTTCCTGGGCGCTCAGCAGTACAGAGGTGTAAGTGACTAAGCCATCATCTACAGGCTATTAAGCCAGTCTCCCGCACCTCTTCCCTTCTGGCTATCCAATCACAGGTGCTTGTCCTGACAAATCCCTCCCTTATCTTGAGGAGCTTTCCAAAAGCCACCTCATCACAGACACTCCACTGTTGAAAGGGCTGTTTAGGAACAGCCAGGACAGTCTTATCTTTATGGCCCTATCACTTAGGAAATTCCAAGGGCATTAGTTAGCTGTGCCAAGAACAAGTAGAAAAACTGAATGTTTCTTATCACTCAATGGTGGCTTAGCAGGCAAAAAAGCCTCTGCCCACCCTGCCAACCTGACTTTGATCCCTGGGACCCACATGATAGACTAGTACTCTGACCACTACAGCTGCAGCTTGCATGCACATGCCCATGCATACACACATAAATAAAGACATCTAAAAAAAATTAAAAAGATAAACATCCTAACACAGGGCCAGGTGTGGTGTGCCTTTAATCCCAGCACTCAGGAGGCAGAGGCAAGTGGATCTCCTGTCTCCAAAAATAAAATATGAAATAAAATAAAAATTCTGCACATTTTTTTTGATTGATTGATTGATTTTTATGGGGCTTTTGGCTACTCTAACAGTCCCCCCTCTGAAAAGGTAACCCTAAAATATTTTAAGGATTAGATCCAAGCTCCCAAATACTTTCAACATTTTTGGCCTTTGGAACAGAGTATGTTGCTAGGAGGCCCAAGGACATTTTGACTTTTAGCCAAGAAACTGGCTACTTTTCTTTGGGTCTTTTTATCCTAACTGCCTAGACAATTCTTACCTCCTATTCTTATCACACCATCATCTGAAGAAGTTACCCAGCTTGACAATAGGGAATTGGGACACAGTCTGCTCGGGCTTCTTCCATGCTGAACAGGGACACAGGATGAGGCAATTGGAGGACCCCTTCAGTGGGTCTATCTAAAAGACTCCCAAATTGCATAACTCTTATCTCTAGAGGAAAAAGAAAGTCCTTGACATGTGAATAGGAGATGTGAAGGAGAAGTAAAGGCAAGAGTAATTAGCATTACAAGTTCTAGACAGAGAACTAGAAAAAACTCAGAATAGGGCAATTTTCGAATGTTCATATGAGTCCATTGGAATTTCTTGACAAGGGCTTCCAAAAGCATCTCTATATTGGGTTCCTCCTCATTTTTCTTTTGTCTTCCAAGGCTGGACTGGAGAGTGATGGTCTCAGGATTTGTTTTCACGTACTTTGATAGCTTTTGGAGTGGCTAGAATCAGTGTCAGTTCCCTCTCAAAGTCTTCATCATGTGGAGGCAGGATCCAGACACTCTCAGGCAGGTCCCCTGAGTTCTCAGCCCCTGTGCCAGGAGACCAAGATTTGAAGTCTTACATCTGAGCAGCACTTTCTGGTTAGGAACAAAATCATCAATGGGAAATACTTGTTTAAATAACTTTTCTGTAGAGTTAAGCCTAATGTCTGGGAATTGTAATCCCTTGAACTCTTAAGGAAATATACTGATGACTGTACTCTTTGGTTATACTTTCCTTTTGGGTGTTTAAGACCATATAGTTAGCCCAAAAAATCAGTTTATTTTTACACTTAAGGTCATTTGAGGATCTGTTCCTCAGGGGTCATATGGGCTTGGGGGGAGCTCCTGGCTCCTTTCTTTTACCAGTTCCATCTATGTGAAGATAAGTCAAAGGTCCTGCTTGACCATGTCTGGCTTCACTTGGAAGCATGAGTTGACCCTCCTCTTTGTAGACTGGACACTGGTTCAAGTCCATCTCATGGGGTCTCCATGTCCTCCCTGAATAAGAGGACAGGTGACTCACCACAGTTACAGGACAAAAATTCCAGCACATTTAAGACCCGTCCCGATCTTACTTTTCAATCACCTTGAGCTAAAAATCATCCTCATGTCACAGTGGCACATTTTGGGATTGCGTATTTTGCTCCTTCCAGTCTAAATATTACAACTTACTTAGCTGAGTGCCTCACTGTGTACACTTGCTGCACATAAGCTAGACCTCAGTATAAAATTTAAAAGCAGTAGCTTGCAAATATTCTGTTTAGCATACTATGTATTTCAGTAAGATTTCAATTCTATGGAATCTAAAATTACTCCACATTTGAGTTTCATCATGTTTAATGATGTGAGCAGTAAGTTTGTTTTCCATATTCCCAATCAGAAAACCACCTGACTCATGAGGACATGGATTTGGTGCTAGAGCAAATGCTGGACCAACAGACAGGGGAAGGATGCAAGTCTAATGTTGAGTTGCAAAGGTAAGCCAGGGTTGGGGCCCTGTGGAAGGGCTGGTTCTGTGGAGGGCTGTATGTACCCTATCAGAAATGACTGCTCCAGGAGCATTATCCAGAAAGCAGGACTTATATTCTTGCTGGTCTCCATTATACAGAAGTGAGTGCTCCTTGGGGAAAAATTATTCTGTGAGGCTGGACTAAATACTTTGGAGAGCAAGGCAAGATTTAGTCAGTTTTGGGCTCCAAAGACAGAAGTCACTTCTGCTCTGGCCCTCCAACCCCCGAGAATCCCAGGAAGAGGGGACTCAAGTCTTGTTGGAAGCCCTTTTCAATGCACAGTGAGATCAAGATCATTGATGCATTAACCCATAGCTGGACCCCACTAGCTTGAAGCACAGAAGGAAAGGGCAGGATGCCACAAGTGAAGGTACAAATTCATAGAACCACATTGTGAGTATGCTGGGTACATGACTATCCAGTAAAGGGGTCCTGGACATAGCAGGCCACTCCTAGGCTATTCGGCTTAATCAAGAAACAGGAGAAAGGGGCGGGGGTACAGAAATGGCTCAGCAGTTAAAAGCACTTCCTGTTCTTCCAGAGGACCTGAGTTCAGTTCCTAGAACTTAGCTTCTCAGCACCCATGCGTGACTCACAACCTCCTGTAACTCCAGGGCATCCAACGCCCTCTTTGGGTCCCCACTGGTGGTACTTCACACATGTAGCACACATATGCATAAAAATGAAAGTGCATAAATCTTGAGAAACAGGAAAAGCATAGCCTACATTGCCTATTAACCATATAGAAAATAATGTCATACCAAATTAACTTTCTGTGGCCAGCACACTGTAGACATGCTTCCACGTCTCTGACTCAACTTACCACAGGTGGAGTACCCTTTAGTCAGGCCTGTGATGGTTATGTATGCACTGAACAGGAACAGACTTCCTTTCTGAAAATGCTCATTCCATAAAGGATACAGTATGACAGCATCAACCTATCAGATATTGCATCATCTAAAGATTATTAAGGACAGAGGTGGTGCTCAACTTTTATATATGCAAATGCTGTGGGATCTTGGTATCTGTGGGGGTCCTGGAACCCATCCCTAGGGATAGAGAACAGACTGCTTCCATGAGGGATCCTGATTCTAGCCAACATGTGAGATGCCCAGCAGGAAGCTTGGGGTATCATGGCTCTGCTCCCTCCTGACCTCACGTGTTCCTCCAGGGGTCCCTTTCCTCCTTGGGCTTTGGATCCCTTGAGTAACAGTGTACCTTGTTGATCTCTGGGCTGCTCCCAGCTCTGGCATTCTACTTTGGTCCAGACCCCTGTGCTGTCAGCAGCCTCCTCCACTCTCTTGAAAAGATGCACGAGTGGACTTGGCATGGGGTACCTTGTTGATCTCTGGGCTGCTCCCAGCTCTGGCATTCTACTTTGGTCCTCCACTCTCTTGAAAAGATGCACGAGTGGACTTGGCATGGTAACATGCCAAGAGGCACTGGCTTTGCCCTTCCTCATGTTGCCCCCTGTGAAGGCCAAACCCCACTATGCTGGAAAACACCCCCTCACTGTCCCATCCTGTGACATGCAGGCTAGGGGAAGAGAGGCCTGGGAGTTTTGTTCTAAACTTCTTCCATGAACGACCCATCTCATCTGCTCTGGGGCCGGGTGAAGGTGGACAAGAGCCAGGAGAACCACCAGGAAACAAGTCTACCTTCTCATGTGGGACTGCTCTAAGGAGCAGAGGCAGGCTCCCGGTAGCCAAAGTCAAAGTCAACAGAGTGGAGATGTGCTGTGCCATCCGGTCCCCTCCTCCCTGGCACCACCTCCCTCCACTCAACACCATCCCCAGACTATCCCTCCATGTCCTACCTTCTGTTAGCAGGACCTTGGCCTTCCCCAGGCTCTGCCTCCAGGACAATGCCCCAGTTTCTTTAAACAGGGCAGGAGAAGTCCCTCGGGACCAATTTTCCTGCTTTATCTATTGACCAGGACTGAGGCCCCCAAATGCCCTGCTGAAACATCCCTTTTACATGTTTCTTCTCATTATACCAACCACTTCCTATAACGGTTGAAGTGAAGTTTTAGGGGGATTCAGGAGGGGTTCAAATTTAGGAGTATGGGACATCTGGAGGCCACACTGGCCAGATGGGAAGTCGAGCTTTTCTCTCTGGGGTGTTGAAGCCAAGTCTTGTTTCCCCTCACCCACAGGGACAAGGATGATGGTCCTCTGGGTGTAATGAAACATCCCTTTTACATGTTTCTTCTCATTATACCAACCACTTCCTATAAAGGTTGAAGTGAAGTTTTAGGGGGATTCAGGAGGGGTTCAAATTTAGGAGTGTGGGACATCTGGAGGCCACACTGGCCAGATAGGAAGTCGAGCTTTTCTCTCTGGGGTGTTGAAGCCAAGTCTTGTTTCCCTCACCCACAGGGACAAGGATGATGGTCCTCTGGGTGTAGAAGAAGCACAAGATGGAGAGCTGACGGATGAGGAAAATGAGGAGCTTCAAGATGGAGATCTGATGGATGAAGAAAGGTTTTTAAAACAGTTCCCCAGCTGGAAACAGAAGCAAGAAGAAAGCATTAGAAGGCTCTGTGCGCTCGCGGAAGACATTGACACAAACCACAAAACATCCACCAAGACCAAAGTGGTGACCAACTCCACAGCAGTCGTTTCTGAAGTGATGAGTCTTCTGGGTTTGGCCCTAGCTCCAACAACTGCAGGAGGAAGCCTGATGCTCACAGCTGCTGGTCAAGTTTTAGGGGCCATCACTCAAGTCACCAGTGTTGTGACTGATGTGATGAACAACTCTCAAAATAAAAGAGCCCAAGCTCAAGCCAGCAGGATAGCGCCAAGGAGTGACCAAGAGCTCGAGGACATGGACGGGGAGAAGATGTCTTACATCACAGCCACTGGTGAGATTGTCTACAAATGTGGGAGCACCTGGGAGATGGTCAAGAAGCACATTCGAGCCCTCCGGCAAGCCAGAAAACACCCCCGTGTGGCCTCGGCTGCCAAGCGACTCATGACCACTGGCCAAGTCTCAGCCCGAAGCAGCAGGCAGGTGCAGAAGGCCTTTGGGGGCACAGTCCTGGAGATGACCAAAAACGCTCGCATGCTTGGAGGGGCAGCATCCGCCTTCTTCCTCATCCAGGATTTATTTAATCTCTGGAATGATTGGAAGCGACTGAAGGCTGGGGAGAGGGCTGAGCTTGCAGAAGAGATAAGATCACAGGCTCGGGAGCTGGAGGAGATGGTGTCAGAGTACACCCATCGCTACAAGAGGCTGAAGCAGAAGGTGAGGCTGGGTTCTAGAAGGGGCAAGCTGAAGGACATTACTGGGAACTCAGGGAGCCATGTGGAGCAGATGTGGTTAGCTGAGCCTGTTCCCTCATGTTCATTTTTCTATAAATAAGCTAAGATATTGAGGGTTAGGACAATTTGACTCTCTCTCTCTCTCTCTCTCTCTCTCTCTCTCTGGCATATTGTCATGTTTGTAGGGATATCTCTCAGCCCATGGCATATTGTAACCCTAGAGGTTCAGTAGTATCAAGTGCTCAGGTGCCCCTTGGAGAGGAGGAAGTATGTCCTGGACAGGCCTGGTCAGCCTTCCCTTTCTTGTTCAAGGCTCCTTGATGTCCTCCTCCTGGGAAGTGGGCTTCCTGGTTGAACGGAATAGGTTGCTGAGCCACACAGTGTTTGGACTGAATTGGGTCCTCCTAGTTGCCTATGTGAAAGCTTTAAGCCCCATATGACTGTATTTGGAGGTATGGCCTTTGGGGAGTAGTTAGGGTTGAATGAGGTTATAGGCTTGATGCCGCCGGAAAAAAAAAAACATGAAGAAAGTTGAGACACCCCCCCACCCCATGCACCTTTATAGGGAAAAGCTATGGAGAATGGAGGCTTCCCCTTTGGGGGAGGGAATCAAACATCTACAAACTTGGAAAAAGCAAGCGCCCAAGCAAACACCTTTAGGACAGAGTAAATAGACCACCACCCCCCCAGGGTTCTAAGCAGGTGTTAAGTACTGGGGGGTGGGTGATGGTGGGGTTTTTTTTGTTTTTTTGGGCGGGGGGGGGTGTTGAGACAGAGTCTTAGGATGTAACCCAGGCTGGCCTACAATTTACTATGTAGCCCAGTCTGACCTCAAGCACACGGTGATCCTGCTGCCCCAGTGTCCTCTGACAGACATACTGTCTTCCCAAGCTCTTTCTTTTCTTCCTTCTTTCTTTTTCCTTCTTTGAGACACAAACTTGCTCCACAGTCTGAAGATGGCTTTGATCCCACCTGTATAAGCCAAACTGATCTTAAAATGATGGCAATCTTCTGCCTTGGTCTCCGTGAGTGCTAGGATTCTAGATGTATATCACAATACCTGATTTTCCTTCCTTTCTAACAACAAATCTGAGGCATAATTATTACATCATGTTCATTTCTTGGTTTTGTTTTTCCTCAGAAACTTGCAGGAGAGAGGCTTGGAAACGCTTCGTTGGACAGAGCTGTGGAGACTCAGCGTCAGCCTCCAGCCATGCTCAGGAAAGCAAAACCCCGGGGGAAGCAGGTGCCTTTGAGAGCAATAAAACAGGACCAGGGTGGAGGCAGCAAGGCTGGCAGAGGACATGTCGGGAGGCTCACCAGCCAGAGGCTTCTTGGGGTCTAAGAAGGGACGATTTCTCTTATGAGAGCACCATCACCCCTCCTCCAACTCCCTCACTCCCCACTCCAACCTCCGTCCCCTCTCCCCTGGTCTCTGTTCCTTCACTTGTACAGCACCCAGTGGCCCTTAGACAGGGACTTCTGTCAGCTTCCGAAGTCAGTGGCAATGGTGAGGCAGAGGGGTCCCTGAGGAAAGGTCTCCTGATGCTCCTTCCTTCCACTTCACCTCTCCATGCCCTCTTCCTCTCCAGCCTGCCGTAACTCCTGACTTGGAGGTGAGTTTGCACACAAGATGTCTCTGGAACCTGCTGCCAGGATGCCCCCTCTATCCTCTTCTGCTCCCACATCCTGCGCCCTTACCTGGTGCTCATCCAGGACCTTGCCTGGTGGCTGGGTTCCCCCATCTTAAAAACGCCTCTCTCTCTCTCTCTCTCTCTCTCTCTCTCTCTCTCTGCCTTAGCTGCTATTTTAAGTTACCCACGGGCACTACACATCCTTTAAAAAATATCCAGGAGAAGAAAATGTAGGGGAAGAGATAGCTCATGATCTAGGCTTGCGCATGTTCACACCAGACACCGCGCTTCCTTCCCAGACTGTGTGGAGAAGCTGACTGCTCACTGCCGCCCTTAGACTCTGCAGGGATCCTCCCTTCAGGTGCACTGCAGAATTGAGCCCTTCCCTTAAATTCTTCCTGATCCCTCATTGGCCTGGGGATCTGAACTTCCCATCCTGCTCTCTGCGCACGACAGGACTGTGCTCTGTGCTTTACTCAGCAAGAGGAATACATTGGTCCACAGTGCACAGGGGTGCCATATGGTCCGCATCCACAGAACAGAAACAGTGTCAAACTCTCATCGCCACCTCATGGACAGTCCTTGGGGCTGTGGTGGTTCAGCTGTGGTGGTTCAGCTGGTAAAGATGCTTGCCACCGCACCTGACTCCTGAGTTGAAACAGTGGCACCATGGTGGATGGATCACACACACGCAGGCAGGCAGGCAGCACACATGCACACTAAGAGTCCTCAAACTGGGATAGCAAATATCAAAGATAAAGACCTTCCTAAAGGGAAAGGAGAGAACCCTGAACAGACTCTATACTACGGGAGAAAAAAATCTGGGTTTGTGTGTGGTGCTGGGGATGGAACCAGGGTTTCAGGCATGCTTGGTCTGCACTTTACCACTGTGCCATACCCAGTCCTGGGAGATGTGGAAAGTGGGGAGAGACTGGAATGTGGCCTAGTAGTCTTGCTTTATAAATCTTGGAATCTGTGACTTTAAGAAAAATGAATAAGTGAATAAAATCCCACACTCAGCCATTTTGTCCCTGTTCCCTTGTTCTTACAAACGCTTCTTACCTGTGACTCAGGAGATGCTGCCTAGCATGGCCACCACAGCTGGAGGACTCCCCCCTCCTTTAGGGACCTCCCGTCAGGTAAAGCAGATCCTTGACTCACAGCAGAAAAGAACTTCAGGATCTGCCAGTTTGAAGCAGAGCTGGGGTTTATTAAGAAGACGTTTTCACCTAGATCTGAGCATGAAGTTAATAGAGGGGTGCTCAGAAAATGAATAAGGTGTACCCCAGAGAACAAGTGTGGGTTTCTCACGGAGTTGTCCCACTTAAGCATCTTAGCGGTAGTCATATTGGCCTCAGTCTCACAGATCAGAGACCTTCTGTCTCCCTGTTGGCTAGTTCCACCAATGGGCAGGGCCTGATGCTCAGCGTGGACTACGAAGGGGCTGCTGGGAGCCATGTTGGGACAGAAGCCACCAGCCTCGGGTAGCCCGTGGTGTGGGGGAACAAGCAGCCAGCCGCTCAGCAGCTGAAGGACAGAATGGACTGACTCTTGTGGACAAAATTGGCATAGTCTGGCCCGATAAAGGAACTACGGCCTTGGGGATATGGGCCTCAGAAAGCAGTGCTGTTCCTGCTGCCCCTGTGGTGGGTCAGCTGGGCTCTGAGTCCCAAATCCAGGAGAGAAACCAATCAAAACTCATATGCTTAATGGGGTTAGGGATAGTCCTATGGGTTATACAATGGATCATAAAATCTGAAACTAAAAAGAGGCCAGCTCAAAACTCATATGCTTAATGGGGTTAGGGATAGTCCTATGGGTTATACAATGTATCATAAAATCTGAAACTAAAAAGAGGCCAGCCATGCAGAAGCGTGGGCCACAGCTATGTTGTAAATGTGGGGATATGTTGTGGGTATGTGAAGATTTGTTAAAGGTTACCTGAAGGCTAGAAAATCTTTTACCTGCTCTGGACCCAAACGAAGTATAGCACAGGAGACCCAGAGGGAATTTGGGTAACAACAGATAATAGTAAGAAAGAAAATGACCTAAAAATAAAAGTAGCTAAAGTCTCAGATTCAACTTTTAATACAAAAGGGGAGAAAAGCTAACTGTGCTGTAGCTAGGAAATACTCCATGTTAGAACTGTTAAAACTAGGAAAAACTTACAAGCGAGCAATCAGAGAGCCCCTAGCCATGTGGCTTGTGAGAGTATGGGACATGGGAGCAAATGACATCAGTCTAAGTCCTTCAGAAGCTTCACAGCTGATTTATATAACCATCCATCTATCCTTGCAATGTAGGCTGTTCAACCTAGGCCAATGCAGGGGGGGAGCAGTCCTTAATGGGGTGCTTGTTGAAGGCATTAAAGATACATGGTCGACACCAAGGGAGACTAACACGATTAACAGGGGCTAGAGGACTATAAAGGACAGGCAGGCATTACTGAGAGAACTAGGTATGAGAAAAGCAATATATGATGTCCAGTTCACTGGGCCA